TGTGTTGTATTGGAGTTACAGGCTAAATATCTGCTATTCTCTAAATTCTCATGTTAAAACCTAACCCACAATATAATTATAACAGGAGGTGAGCACCTTGGGAAGGTTGCTATATGATGTCCATGATGGTAGAGACCTCATAAGTGGGATTAGTGCCTTTATGAAAAGGACCGAGAAAGGCTGCCAATCTTTTCTTCTGCAAGGACACTGAGGAAATGTCTACGAACAGGATTTCAATGTGTCTTTTAAAGTATTTGCATTTGGAACTTAATTCCTAATTCAGCAACATTGATCTCTCCCATCCTACCATGTAATGATGCTCTTAACCATTTTATTTTTATTCTTAACTACCCAGTCTTGGATACCATAGAACACTAAGCATCATAAGACAGTAAGAAACAGTATTTCTATGTAATATGCTGAAAAATCACATCTTTGAATTAAATTTCTCAAGGTCATTTGTGCTTATTTTAAGAGAGATTTGTCCTAATGTGGAATTCCCTCAAATCTGACAGACTTTTAAGAAACGCTAATAGATTTTTCTGGAGGTAATTTAAACAAAAGCAATGTTATTTAATAGAATACAGTATTTAAATAAGTACTATGTGGAATTCACTATATAGCACCATTCCTTGTAAGTCACTAAAATAGTGTTTCATCAAATGGTTAAATGGAAAAAAAAGGCTAAACAGTAAGACCTTACTGGACAAAAAAATCATTCATCCTTTGATCTAATTCCTAGCTCTCAGAATTTTGAGAAATTTGTTATTTATAAGCTGCCCAGTCTCTGCTAGTCTGTGGTAGATCAGGCTGAATGAATTAAAAGTTTATGTACTGTTTTAATATATTTAAATTTAGTAGTCAGTGTCTGGAACAGATATTGTATCACTTGCTGGTGTGTATGTCTCTGTGTGTAAGGATAAATCCCTTAAAACTTCCTTTAATTTTTTAAATAGTAATTGGTTTGTATAGATTTAACTTTGACTTCTGGATTGATGTTTACAAAATTAAGTTTATGATGAAAATTTTAAATTTCATTTGTATTTTCAGGTTTATTTGCCTCAGGTATAACAATTTCTTTCCATTTCTTCAGTATCATTTCATCTCTACTTATTATTTACTTTTAAATAAACTTTATCATACTTTTTACTAAATTAGTGGTTTATTTATCCTTTTTTCCACAGATCAGCCTTCATATCTCCACTACACGATCCACAAATCGAATTTTTGCTTTAATCTTTAATTCCTTCTGCTTATCATAGTTGTATGTGTTTAGTTCATGCTGCAGCCTTTTTTCCATTTTCAGAGGTATTTATTTCATGATACTGTTTTCTCCTAGACAGTATGTATTAGTCTTTAAAATAGTTTTATTCTGCACGCAGATCCAGCAGTATTCTGTAGGTTACAGCAGTGTAGTTTTTTTCATTATCATATTATATCCTGGTAAATGAATTTGAATTCATTATTTTTTCAAGTGGTAGTGATTTTTTTGTATTGACATCAGAAAATGTTGTGCATACTTCTTTTAATTTCTTAGTTTAATTAACAGTTTCATTGTGATTTATTAGTCAATTTTTTTGTTAATGTTAAATCAATACTGGAAAAAGTAATGCTATATATTTTCATGTTGAAAATTCTGAAGTGCATTAATATACTTTCTTGCACCAGTCCTGGATTTTTCCCTAAACATTTCCTTTCCCTAAACACCTCCACTCCATTCCACAATGAGTTCTCATTTGTCTTTGGCTGTGGAAACAGAAACCACACCTTCAAGGTGTTTAAATCGTGCCAAATGGAAGAGCATATTGGCATTAATCGTGGCATGGAAGTATTTCCCTTTACATCAGTGAACTTCAGTGAACTGATTTCATGACATGTGAGCTGTGAGACAAAGCGGTTTCTGCGTCTTCAAGGGGTGTGACTCCTGGGTAAATTTCCTTCACCATGTTTGTATGCATGCACCTCCACCAAATGCAGACATGCAAAGCATAAGCAAATCAAATCTGCTTCACTGGGCTTTTTCTATTGTAGTTGGAGTAACACTGTAAGAACCCCGGGGCTGATTCTGTGAGTCCTTGTGGGTCAGGGGTGGCAGAGAATGCCTTTATGTGGCAAAGGCTCTTTTGTTCCACTCTGCAGTAGGGGTGGCCCCGCCTTCTTCAAAACAAAGCAGATGTGAGCTCTTCATCTAGTCTTGTGGCAGACATCTCTTATCTGACCTCTTTCTGAATAAGTAGATAGGGGAATCAGAAATCCCATTTTTTAAAAAAACTCACCTTATTTGTTATTTTACTCAAATAGGTGTCTTCCATAAAAAATGCATATTTCTTTTGCATATTTATTTCCTTTAAAAAATATTTAAATAACTGAATAGCTTACGTTTAGCTTGTGTGATTTTTTTGCTGAAAAATACATGATCTTTTTGAAATTATGAGTGAGGTTACTATGTACTATGCTCTTTGTCTACAGAAATAATCATAAAATAATAATGCTACTTTAACACAAATTCCAAGAATCCAGAAAAAAGAAAAACTTGCTGGAATATTAATCCTTGTATAACTGCTTAGCTCCATAAGCACAAACAGATTCCACTTTGATACATTCCACTTTAAAAATGTGACCCGTTTCAAATCTTTTGTCCATTATTATATTTGGCCCTCACCATAATCCTTCAACGCAGTTGGTGTTATACCCTTTTCTCAGATGAATAAACTGAGGAAATTTTAAATAACTTCCTTAGAATGAATTATGATAAGCAGAGTTTGGATTTTAATTATCCTTATATGCCTCCCAAGTCATGTCTTCTATTAACCCACTGTATGCCCCAAATTTTATTATGACTGGATGGCTCAAGAAACTGAAAAAAATCTGACATTTCATGTGATTGGGCAGTGTTCATTAGGAGAAAATTTCCAGAGTTTTCTAGGCTCGGCTTAAAATCCCCTCCCTGACAGTGTAGTCTCTACTAGAGCTTTTTTCTTTTTCTTTTTTTTTGTACCAAGAATTGAACTCAGGATCTTGTGCTTGCCAGGCAGGTGCAGTGCCACTGAGCTACATCTCCAGCCCTGAAGCAGAGCTCTTCTGAGACTCTACTGACAACACAGTCTTTGACAGTGTCCTATCTCATCCCATTTTTGGGGGTTCATCTGAGAACTATATCCTCTGCAAGGATGGCAATCATGCAGGTATCCAGAGTCTCTTGATTAGTAAACTATTTGAATAAGAGGAATCAAGATGGAAGGAATATGGAAGAAATCCCAGGGAGACATGCTGGGGTACTTATACTGGTAACTAGAAATTACTTAAAGGAGAGGCAATGTAACAATATGGGGGCTGAGGAACAGTACACTGAGACACACTGAGTCTGACAGAATACAGACAAAAGTTCTAAGTCTCCCTCACTCAGTGGGAGCTTATTTATGCACCCCTGTGCCCCACCTGCCTGAACCACCCATACTTAAAGGCTCTGTATACTCTCCAGTAGCTATACTCAGCTGCTCCACCTGTTCCCAGACATGCATTTGGGGGTAGAGGCTTCAGAGTAATCTCAAGTGTTATGGAAAAAAACTACTTGAGCTTCATTCCTTCTAGGAATCTTTACTTATGGGTCATATAAGGGCAAATTAAACTTGTTACATTATTATTGTGGCAAACCTGCTATATTATTATTTACCTCATCAGCATGAGAAAAATTATATCAAGTACCACATACAGTAGTTTTGACAATTTAATCATACTTTGAAGTATGCTTGTTATGTGGTAAAAATTCTATACATGTGCTAGCTTTTACTGCTAGTCAGAGCAGTAAGAATGTCCTGGGACAGAGGATCCAAGCATATTTTTAGCCATCAGCCAAAGAAAGTGTACTCCACAGGTACACACAGTATTCTGCACAAATCAATTAGATAAGTGATTAAAACTGTGTTGTTCAATTCTCTTACATTCTTTCTTTGCTTATTTAATTACTAAAAGATTTACTGAAATTGTTCACTAGGGAATTGACTTTTTATTTTTCTATTTCTGTCAGTTATTAATTTGCATATCTGGGGTGATGTTATTATATGAGTACAAAATTTGAACAGTTACATATTCTTGGTGAATTATAATTTAATGATTTTATTTGGTGCTGAGCATGGAACCCAGGACCTTGTGTATGTGAGGCAAGCACTACATCATTGGGCTACATCCCCAGCCTTAATTTAATGTTTAAATGTCATTTCTCTTTATCTCCAGAAATGTTTATCCTTTATACACTTTGTCTCTGCTAAAGAGTCACAGTACCTATTTTGTTAATTTTTCCCATCTTATTTTAATGCTTTTGTATTTTTTGTACTATACATGTGCATTTTAAATAAATTATTTCATTTTAATTTAAAGAAAGTGTGATAATCTTTCAAGTTTTTAAACTACTTTTATTTAATTGAATTATGGTATATCTGTATTATAAATTTTCTATGTTGATATTTTATTAAGCTTTTGTATCACTTCTCAGCCTTTTGGCTAAGATTAAATGTATTTAGCTTTTGTTCCTTTTTATACATCATCCTTGTATCTTTCCATTCTTGCATTCTGATTTCAGTATTTTTATTGTTTGTCCTTTTATGATCTTGTCTATTTTATAATGAAAATTTCTGCCAAACCCCTTCCTTGGAAAATCTAGAAACTGATATCTTGATAGATAATTATAAAATATTGAATGCAAACAATTGGGTGCCTGAGTCCCAAATTTGCTGCAGTGGTACAAACATTTCTGTATTTATAATAGCAAAGTAAGCCGTCAGTGTCACAGAAATTAGCAAGGTCATGATTTCTAAGTCCCTTAAGAGCTATGTCTGGTGCATTTGGCTATAGACATTTTAAACAGCTGATGGTCACTGATCTGGACAGGGTCAGAGAAAGTATCCACACTGCTCACACAACAGCCCACACTGCTAGCCTTTGACCTTCAGCTTTCAGCTCTGAATTTATTTTAATTACATAAACATATACGGTATGGCATATATATTCTTTTGAATATTTTTCAAATACATAACTTTCCACATATATGCATAATATATATAACTCTCAAATATATACTTCCAAATATAAATAATTTCACATTAAACTGAACAGGATAAAAACGTGTAAACATATGCTCCTGGTTTTGGTCAAGTAAAGGAGAAATCACAATATAACCACAAGTTAACAAGTGCACTTGAAAGGGAAGGAAAAACACAGGCAAGGCATGTAAACAAACAGCAGCTGCAAGGACCTGCAAGGGTCCACTTTTTAAGGCTATTGTAGCAAAAAGCTCATAATTTAGTTAAGATATTTTTCACCCTGTCACATTTACTCTTGAGGGATTTCACAATGAGTGTGGAAACTCTGTAAACACTGGACTAAAACTGAATGAATCTTTTTGAAAACAGACACGACAAAACAAGCCATCTGGACAGCAATATTAATTTCATCCAACAACAGTTTTGAGGACTTTTTGTTTTTTAACACAGCAAAACACCATAATACTATAGAGAGAATAAGGGGTGGGGCCTGTACACAAGAAAATGAGAGAGAAACACTGCGTAAAGATTGCCTCAATAGCCAGGAAAGCAATATATGTGTCAATCAAAAAGGGAGAACAGGCAACAGAAGACGACCGAACCTCGGGAGACTACACCACTCACCATAGCTGATGCTACAGATTCAAATAAAATATTCTTCTAGCTGATAATAAAGCAAGAGCCACTGGTCATCAGAGAAAGGAATACCATTTCTCAGTGCAAGAAACTTCTTAAACAACAGATTGGCCAGGCAAAGTGCGACAAGCTCCTTTTTACCTCTCTTAAAGACCCTGTTGCTCTCTCGAACCTGCATGGGCTCCAGAACTTGATGCCAATATGCGCTGGATGATCCACCACCTGGCCTGGGATACTGCCCTCCCTGGCTCCGAGGGTACTCGTGCTTGTAAAAACAGTTCTCGCCAAAGGGGCAGTGACCCCTGCCCTCAGCAAAATACCTGCAGGCCTTGTGTCTCATTCCCTCCTTATACTGCTGAATAAGCTTCTCCTTCTCTTCCCCATCCTCCACCCAGAACTCACTGGGAATGACAAAGCTGGAGGAGACCCTGCACTGTGGACAGGATTTACTGATTCTGCTCTCGAATTGTGTGCCACTTCTCCATGTGCGAATACAGGTGAGACAGTAGGTGTGGTTGCAGCTGTAAAGGATGCCAAAGCGGCGGTCGCTGGGCTCGATTTTCTCATAGACAACCTCCATGCAGATGCCACACACCTTGTCCATACTGCGCTGCACAGCAAACGAGAGCTCCATATCCCTCTCGTGTGCTTCAATGCAGGCCCTTATATGGGCTTCCCTCTGGGCAGCATCCACAGGGTGCAAGGCCTGCAGCCCACACATGTCGCATACATCACCATGGAGGAATGCACAGCTCTCCCCGTAAAAGCATTGTCCCCTGGCAGCATAGCGGCAGAGCGGCATCCACATGCCCCCCACCATCTGTCCTCTTGCAATCACCGGGCTTGGGCTCGGCAGAGGAGGCAGAGGAGCCAGTGGAGCTAGAGCCAGGGGAACCAGGGGAGCCAGGGGAGCCAGGGGGGCCAGGGGGGCCAGGGGGACCAGGGGGGCCAGGGGGGCCAGGGGAACCAGGGGAGCCTGTGAAAGAGCCATGCGACCTCGGTAGGGCTGCCCAGGTACAAACTCAGCTGCACCCACCCAGCCTTCCGCACCTGCTCCTCCTCCAGCAGCTTCAAGTCCTGCATTGTCTGTCTCGGCTTCAAAGAAACACCTTGCAGCAGCCGAGCCAATCACAGGCAAGGAGCTTGAGGATGCAGAAGGGGGGGCTTCCGGCTCTTCCTGAGTCGGGGGATGGCTCTGCGCAGCCTCACTAGGGTCTCTGTCTGCAGAGGCCCGAGTCGGGGAAGCATGGCGCTCCCTGGCCATCTGCCGCCTAGAGAGGTCATGGGAGTACCGACAGTTCTCCCCCTCCTTGCACTGCCCATGCAGATAATACCTGCAAAGGATTTGCTTGGTCCAGCTGCCGCTGCTCCTCTCCTGCAGAGAACTGGGCCTGGCCCCGCCCCCTGAGGCCTGGGCCGGCCTGGAGCCAGCTGTGCGGGGTTGGACACGACCCATAGCCACACGGAGGGTTGCTGGGCCTGTTGCCAAATGCAGAGAGGCCGGAATTGTCTCCTGAGACGCCCCGGAGGCCTCGAGCCCAGCAAGGCCGAACGAAGACACACCCTCCCCTGCCGCCTCGGCACCTGCCTGGGCTCGAACATCCTGCTGGCCTCCCGAGGGAGCTGCAGAGTCTTCCATAACACTTTTTGCACCCAGGAAACCTTTCGGAATTGCTCCGATGTGTATACTATTTCGGGGCTTGATTCCCGAAGCTAGAGCTCGCTTTGGAGGTTTCTGGAAGAAAAGAGAAGAAGTGGAACATTTTGTTTCTTCCCCCCAACTCCCAGCACCTCCTGACTATTTGTTCCTACCTCCATATTAGAACAGGAAGCATGGCGGACACTTCCTGTATAAACACCGCGTATCTACTACCGGGTTGTAGTTCAGATGAGCAAAGTATCATATATTTTATTCCTGAGCAAAGTATCATATATTTTATTCCTGAGCACAATGATCGTCGGACCCCCCCTCACTCTGGATTCTGCCGCTGTCCCGCTGGGCTCTTAGGCAGTCCCTAACACCGCCCCCCGACCCCCCCGACCCGCTTCCCCTCTTCTCTTCTGGATGAGGTGTTAATTGGATCTCGTCTAGTTTCTGTCATGCAAATTTTTTTTTCATATGTTTGTAAAAATCAGAATCCTTGTTTTCCCCTTGATTTAGCAGTTCATCTTGTAGCTTCTGAAACACTTCACTCATAAATATAAATGCCTTCCCCCGTTCATTCCACATTGTGCCTATTCATGTCTGTTTTTTTTAAATCAGAGACCTTCAAGCTGGAAATTTTACGTACTTTGTTCTGTTGACAAGACAGTAGTTTTCTTGGTCTATTTTTTTCGAAATTCTATGGCTTAAATTGGATATGCTTTTCTCCAGCAAGGCATTAACAGGAAGCCTTTCTTATGTGAAACTGGTTAGTGCTTTTCAGATGTCTTCCTTCGTTGTAATTTCTAATGACACCTCCTAGTGTGTAGAAGTTGCAGACTCCTTCCAGTCTTGCTGCTTTAATAAGCAGCTTTAATAAGCCGCTGCCCTCAGTGTGACTCAGGCTTTTTATTTTCTCTGCTGGTTTAATTCATGAAGGCTCTTTGTTTCCCTTCCTTTCTTTCACCCAGATCTGTGCTGTATTGTGACAGAACAGACTTTCATTACATATTCTTTGCCGTACGCCTCGCGAGTACTAAATTTTAATTTCCACACATGTGAGTATTTTTTTTTACTTTTCAGATATTGTTTATAGATTGATAATTCTTGCTTGTATTTCTGTTTTGCTAAGAGCACTTACTATGAGAGCAAACTGAATTTTATCATGTAGTTTTCTGTATTTTTGAGAAGTGAGCATGTTTTCATTTTGTTAATGTGATTGTTTGAACATACAAAATTTCAGATATTTAACTTACTATTTAATTTCAAAGAATAGAATTTAGCTTGCTAAAACAAGTTGTTTCTTGGGGAATTGTAGAGATTAAATTTTTATTTTAGAGTGGAATAAAGTCTGAATATTTATGATACAATCATCAAATCCTAACTAATAAAGCAAGTTAAAAATCTTAAGCAAAGAAGGCAAATTGGCAAATAATAAAGATAAGAAAAGCAGTGAAGGCAAAATCCTCTCAAGAGATTATTAAAACTGATAAATTTCTGGTGTAAATTATCAAGGGAAAAAAAAGAAAGTTCAGCAACCAAGATCAAAACATTTAAAATCAGTATCAAGAATCAATCCCAGACAGTAAAAATTATGAGAAGCTATAAGAAAAAAGGTTTGGTTAAACATAAATTTTATATCATATAGGTATGTATCTAGAAATACATCTTAATAAAAATGTCAGGAGCAGATATAAGAAATATAAATAAGAAACTATGAAATAAATTACATATGTAATTGAAATAATTCTCCAAACAGAAGATTTGGAGCTTTTCTTTTGAAAGAAATAGGAAGGCAAAAAATCATATTTATTATTGGATGATCTGGGTTGAGCAACAGAGCAAGCAAATAAATAGAACACGTTAGAAATGGAGAGAAATCATTGATGAAAGGAAGAAAACATTGGGAGTAATTTAAAGATAAGACATTGGATTTAATAAGTATATTTAGCAAGAGAAATGGACAAAAGTGCAATATTTAAAAAAGTTCTCTTTCATTCTCTTCTTTTTCCTATCTGTATATTTTATAATAAATGACAGTAAACATTTTATATCAATAGCATTTAAAATATTAAAGGTTGATTAGCCTATGAATTAAGATTGTACAATAAAATGAAAGGCTTTTTTTTTAAGTTTAGGAAAACCTAAATAAATTAAAAGAAATTTCACAGATAAGGCAGGTAGAAAGCTCAATGATTTTAAAAGACAAACTTTGCCTAACTTGTTAATCATTTGCTGCTTTTCCATCATGAATTTAGGAAATTTTGGTGATTTTGTCCTTTTCTTCTTTACATAGTATTAGGTTTTGAAATTGGGATGCAAACTTTTCAAAAGTCTGACACACTGGAATTCTTGGGAATAAACATCTCCTTTTCTCTTCTAAATATGTTTGGTTAGTAAAGATGCTTTTGATAGCCCTACTGATTTTTTACAGGGAAAAAAACATGTAGCATAGCTCTGAAGTTTACATACCAAGCCCTCTACAGATTCACAAACATAAGAATCCAGAATATCTACAGATCTATTATTTTAGAATGATGATATATTCTTGGCACTGTGTCTAACCCATGTTTGACCTTACTTTTGTACACCAGCCCTGTCCAGTAGAATTTTCTGTAGAGCATTTATATATGTGTGGTCCAACAGAGTAGCCTGTAAAGTCCTATGGCTCTTAAGCAGTTGAAACATATCTAGGGTGATAGAAGATTTGAATTTTTATTTTTCAATTATAAATTTAAGTACCCACATAAGACTATAACAATAAGACTAGTAGGTACTGCATTGATCAGTGAAATTTAATGTAGCATTTGGCCATCCTGTCTTCTCAAAACAAAGGAACTGAGAAACAAAGCTATGGGGCAAGGGCTATAAGGCAAGGGCTTGGCAATGTTTGCTTTTAAATCACCACCTGTGAGACTCTTGAGTCATGTTCGTATTTTTTCATCTCATAGTGACTCTTCTAGTTTGATGGTGGGAATATTTTATATACAGTATTTTAATATAAACATATCTTAAGCTTTTAAACATCATATGAGATCAAATAGCAGAAAATGTTGAGAAGTGCCCCTTAAGAAAAATATGCAACTATTTCCTATGTTAAACAAATTGCTACCTTCAAATAATTATCTGGTTGCCTTTTATTGCTACTCTTTTTTTCTTTTTATTAGCATTGATGCTGTTCCACACAGTCTCTGGTCATTTGGTACAAAGGAGTCCCCAGGCTGGTCAGCATTTGGGGGTCCAAGTGGAGCAAGGGGAAACAGAGTAGCTCTTGAACAGGCTGTGTTAAGCATTTAGGTCACTGAGGCATGCAATGAAAAGTGGGGGGGGGGAGTGACAGCCCTGTGGAGCTGAGGCACAGTGTGACAGTCAAACAATACCATGCGATGGGCGATGCATGCAGAAGTGGTCTGCAGGGATGGACAGAAAAAAGCCAGATGGCCCTTCAGCCTTTCATTCCAAACTGCTCAAGGAGTCTTATTAAATGTGTTTAATATATCCACATTTAAAAAGCACACAATCGTGTTACAGCAGTTCCCTTTGCAACACACACAGATGCTATAGGACTAATATTCCAGGTGTTTTTGGAGCAGGCTCGGAGGTAGGGATTAAATGAAAATGTCTAGAATCAGGGTCATGGCTTCACATCCACACTGAGATATTCACCTGGTATACATTAATTATCCTTTCAAAAAAATTACTGTATCTTGTAAATAATAGGCATAATAATAACTAATAATAGTGACTGGTTCACAGGTTTGCAGTCAGTTCTAAGTGAGATAATTTTAAAAATAAAACTATTGGAATCATCCCCGTCAAATGGGCCAATATTGGAGATATCTGTGTGTCTTTTCTATTTTAGAATCACCCCCCCAAAATCCTCTGACTAGACTTTATCCTTATCAGTCTCCTGTAGGGATCCTGGAAATTCCTGGGATATGAGAGTAAGTAAATGAATACTTATTATCTCATAATGATAGAAAACTTGATTTTGATGTGATATTCAAGCATCCAGTTTTCTCAAACTATAGTTCAGAAGTCAGACAGGGGTACTTTTGTGCAGTACTTTTTTTGTCATCTCATTATTGTGGTAGCCAAGGCGTTATGGCTGCAAAGAGGGGCTGTGGGCTGCTTTGAGGAATTGCACGTATGGTCAGTCTGAGTGAATAATTGGATAACAAAGAAGTTATTTAATGAGTTACTTTCAATGAGCACATGAAAAAGAAGTATAAATAATGCTACAGCCACTCAATTTTAAGATCATAAAATTGCACTGATTATAGAAAATATCCTGATTTATCTGTATTGCAGTCATATACTGAAAATTTAAATAAATCATCTGGAAGCTTTTCTATGAATGTCAAGACTCAGAAGCATTTATATTGTGATGAACAGAATTTTGTCACATTCATATTGGTATCTTTTATTTCTATAAAAAAATGAAAAATGTCAGATATTAGTACTGGAGTTCTGTGGCCTCTTCCCTCTTCAGGAAAATGTTCATCCTTCAGAGGCTGTACCCTGTGTGTCCTCTTATCTGCATGCACTGAACACAGGGATAACAAAGGACAGAACTGAAGGTGCATGTGTTTTTATTTTTAAAACAAAGAATAGCCTTATTATTTCTTGTGTTCCTTTTCTTCCCCAAAACATTTAAGCAGTTATTATAGAGAATTGTAAATAATCAGAGCTGAGTAACTACCTGTGGTAGCATCATCCCACTTAGAAAATGCATTGATACAGATGACTGATAGATGGAGGAAATATAATGTTTCAGTAGCAGAAAGAAAAAAGCCTCCATAAGGTTATAAGGATTTAATACATTTTCATTTCTGCTATGTATGTTGACTTTGAAAATTGAACACAGGACACTTAGGAAAATTTGCAATATATTGGGCTTACAGCATGTCTCAATATCTCCAACAGATTGAAAATTTATATTTATTTAGAATCTATTACATTTGTTCAGAATATATTGACTCAGGAGTGATAGTGAGCCATAAATCAGTAAAAAAAATGTAACTGTATTGGGATATAAATAAGTATATTTCTAAATGACCAACAGGTCTAAATAAAAGTCACAAATTCAAGTAGAAAATATGATTTGATCAATATTGAAGGTTCTGTAAATCAAAGTATACATTTGGTGTCAAACAATGCTTCTTTAGGGAAATCATAGATAGGAACATATAATGTGTATATGCTGATTATTTCTGATATTATCACTCAATACACAATACCTTACAAAAGGAGAAAGATTGATTATTTCTGATATAATCATGTAATTCAGATAATTGTATTAAATTTAAACACAGGAAAATATATGATGGAAATAAAAATAACTAAAATCAATAGAAGAGAAATAAGCATATAACAAAGGAACAGTTACAGGTTGGTTTCTTATTAGGTTTAGTAGAAGTGACAAACCTCTTGTGAAATTCACTGAAAAAAATGAACACTCAACTAACCAATATTAAGAATTAAAAATGATAATATTACTGCTGTTCATACTGGACTAAAAAAAAATCATAGGAATATACCATGAACAACTTAGGACATTAAATATACAAATATAGTTAAAAACCTAAAACTATCAAAAGTGAAAAAAAGAAACAGAATATGCACAGACTCATAGGTAGTAGAGGAAATTAATGTTAATAAAAATCTTCTTAAAAACAAACCTCCAGGACCAAAAATGTTCACAATTAATTCTACTTCATTTTTAAGAACAGATATCATAGAACTATGCTCATAAATGGATGTAAATCAACCAAAGATTTATTGAAGTATAAATATATAAGAATGATAAAAATGTATTTTATGTTACACAATAACATGTGGGCACTCATTTTTCAGTTTTTCTCTTTGTGGCCATGAGGAAACAAGTCAATATCCCAAAAAGTTATAAATTCCAAAACAAAATAAAGAAAATGTAAAAATGAACAAACACTGACATTTGATGACGCAAAAGATAACAGAACATGACAAAGAAGAGTCCATTCTAGTGGCTTAAGATAATGTGAATATTTGAAGATCATTAGTTATTAAAGGAGGATAA